TGTTGGGGGCAATATGCTGACTCTCTGTAAACCGCTTAGAGAGGCCTGAAAGGCCTATGAAGCGGTATATAAGTCTACTGCTATTGCTATTGAGACAAATTCCTTGTGTGTGCAATCACACTTGGCCAATAAAGTGTGTGTTCCTTTCCTTTCCTTTCCATTCCAATTTTCCTTTCTATTCTTTTCTATATTATCTATTCTGTTCAACTCTATTCTACTCTACTCTATTTACAATCTTACTTCTCCTTCAGTTGTTGTTAAGTGTTCAGTTGTTAAGTGAAACATTCTGTGACAGCAACTTATGATTTTACTTCCATCTTCTCTATTAACTTTGCTTGTTGCAAGCTAGTTATGAAGTACTCAAATGGTGATCATGTGACTGGGGGACATTGCGATGTTTGTAAATATGAGGATTGGTTGCAAACTTATTTTTTTATACTGCCATAACTGATCAATCGCTAAAGGAGATAGTAAGTAAGGATAATCTGTATTTCTTTAAATGGATGTTTAAATGATATTGTATTGCCCTAATTTTAATTAATTATATAACTTGCTGATTTTTCAATTTACTCTTTTCTCACTATTTTTAATATGAACATTTAAAAGATATTAAAAGACCAGATTAGAACAATTTACTAATTTTTAAATTTCTATTTGTTTATAACCTGCATATTTCTAGTCAACCAGCCAGAATTATATTAGAATATTCTTAATACATTTATGAAAACATGAATAATCACAAATTATAGCAATCTACTAATTGATTAATTTTACAACTTAATAATATAATTTCATTTAATAAATGATAACCATTATATCTCCTTACATTTGAGAATCTCAATCACAAAAACCTTGTTAAGATGCCATTAACTGATTTTTTTATATCAAGCATACACAGCAAATTTTATTCAGATACCCTTTCACAAATTAATTCCTTTTATTGTACAACTACAACAGTAACCTGCCAGATGGCATGATATTAAAAGCTATTTACTTAATTTAAATAAAAATATACATTTATGGGAATCATACCTATTGCTTCTTTTAACAGACTTGTTCTCCCATGGTGGGTCTATAACAATTATGTCATACTTCTTTTTATCTAGAAAAAATAAATGTTTTCAATTATTGCCGGAACAATTATTTGAAATTATAAAAATATTTCCCATATTTTAAGACCCTAATACTTACATCTTTCAAACGAATTGAAAGTTTGATCTTTTCCTGCATTTTAAAACAACCAATATCTGCCCTTCTAAGTTTATAGTGACCACACTACTTTATGTGTAAAGCTGTATTTACCATATAGTTCAATTTCATGCAACAAGCAATTATAACAGCTTTACATGTACCATAAAATCTTTCTTGCCCAGCCAGGCAGATGTGTTTCAGATCCAAATCACGATAAATTATAGCTAAGGAATGGACCATGAACAATTTTGATTGTTTTCACTATACACAGTTTAACTATACAATTTTCACTATACACAGTTAAACATAATATTTTGGTTATATTAAGGCAAAATATTACTGCTCAAATTGTTCAAATGGATAGTCAGGTCTTTCAATTCCTCCTTTACTAAAATATACATAGAACTGCTATGGCAAAATATTTAGGGATTGCTGAACAAGTGAGAAATTTTACTAGGGTATATACCAGTACTTACAATTCAAAAGTGGCTGCATACATGAAAAATCTGATAAAAGAAATGCACTTCTAGGGGGAAATAAGTAAATCTGTCCCATTAGCGTTAACATCTTCACATTGCTTGTATTATTTTCAGTAACACAGGTTAATTGAACTTGCTCTGGGTCAGAGGTTTCCTCCTCCATTACACATATTTGCTCTTTTTCATTCACAGGAACGAAACACTTGGCCATCTCACAAAGCTCAGCCAAACTGCAATTATTGGGTCCTCTGTCAGATGCCTTGACATAAAACTGGTCTATAGAATTAGGCTGAAGGAAACCACTTCTGCGTGCCTCCTGGATTAGACATCTGGTTCCATCCAAAATTATGTCACTGATCTGTGTACAGCAATAAAAGATAAAGGGAAATTGTTGAAACACACAGATTTGTCAACCACAATTTACTAAGAAGTTCATATGAATTAATGACTGCACAATGTAAGCATGAAACAGTTATGAAATGTTTTCAGATTTGTTCATCTTAACATTATTTCTTGGTGTTTGAATGGAGAATGTTATGAATCCTTCACATGGACATTTTTGCAAACAGGAGCATTACAACAGAGATAGGACAATTATAAATAGTAATAGCACTTAGACTTATATACTGCTTTACACTGCTTTACAGCCCTCTCTAAGCAGTTTAGAGTCTGCCTCTTGCCCCCAACAATCTGGGTTCTCATTTTACCCACCTTGGAAGGATGGAAGGCTGAG